AGAAGAATGGAGAGAGAACGATACGGCGAGTTCGTGGAGTTCAATCACGTTCCTCCCCGTGGCTTTTCATAATTGCTTGTTGTCACTTAACTCATCCCCTCTATGCAAACTCGACTGATATTCGTCCTGAATATCCATTCTCTCTTGCAATGGAAAATTCTGCCTGGCGTAGTGCTACGTGGCAGATCAATGCGTGAGGACTATTCACGTGCGATATACATTAATCGAGCAGCCTTTTCACGCGGTAATCGAACGCGCATCTGCAGCGAAGACCAGCTGATGTGAACGATTTTTTTCTTCTCTCTCGAGACGCGAAAAGCGTAAATTTGTATATCAAATGTAAGCTCTCATTGTGCTATCAGGCTGTAAATATTCTGAAACGACAAGAACCTTTTATCATAAATCATAGATTTTATCGCGGAGAAAGGAGGAATATTTAAGAATTTAATATCGTAATAAATTACAACTCGATGAGATAACGATTACACATATAAACCGCTCGCAACAGTTTCTCCGGCCTATTAATATTCCAGTGTCGCGCGCCCTTGCAGTTGTTACGTTCATTAACTTTAATGAGAGATATCTTTTACGGTTACCTGTATCAAAGATTGTGCAATCGACGGATAAAGCGGCATAAGTGCGTCGTTAAAATTCTTTATGTTAACATAAAATATTAAATTTTGTTTAATTCAAGTATTGATACTTCATATAGTATTTAATATCTTGGTGTTTAGTATTTTGATCAAATTTCAGTATTGTGAAAGTATTATTTTGAATTTCGTAAACTCTTATTTCATTCAAACGTCAAAAGTGGAATAAATCATGAGTCAGACTGTTAACTTGAGCGACGTGAGTGACAAGTTTACAGAAGAAGTGCTGACAGATATTCTCTGTAAAGCGGCTAACGGGAAAAAGGTGCAGTTGACAGATTGGAGTTTTGGCGAGGGATTTGCCAAGGGTGACAGTTACTTGTCGACTGTCAACAAAGGCATACTCTATGGTGTTACAGATGACAATCTAAAGCAACAGGTGCAAGTTAATTTCGTCGTAAAGTCAATTCCAAAAAATGTTGGCAGAAGAAACACCTTCAGAAGTGGTGAATTTTTTCCAATGAAATCATATTCTATACAAAGGTAAAAATTTATAAGATTTTTATTTTTACAATTGAATATGCATGTGATTTTTGACAAAAAAAAAGATTTTTTTCCTCTCCTTCCCTCTGATTGTAAGTAATAAATGTTTTAATCTCAAACAACTGTTACAGATTGTTCCCAAGTTTAAAAAATTCCTAGCAGACAAAGGACAGTGTGATCTGCTTCGCATACCTCGTTATTTGACTTCTTACATGGACGGTGAAAATGATTTTATAATCATGGAAGATGTCTCTATCTTTGGATTTGGACCCGCATCCAGACAAAGCTGTCTGGATTGGTCAGAATGTGTTGTGATCTTAAAAACCTTGGCCAAATTTCACGCAATTTCATTTGCATACAGAGACCAAAAAAAAGAAGAATTTTTAGAACTCACAAGTTATTTGAAAGAAACCTATTTTGGTGATGACCACTGGAATTGGTATCAAAGATTTCATGTAAGTGTGATATTATTTTGCATTTTATGCAATTATAAAATAATAATTTTCTTTTCTTTTCTTCTCGCAGGAAAAATTGATGAATATAGCAAAACATGCATTAATGATGGAATATCCCAACAGTAAAGCCGAAAAACAATTCAATTCTTACAAATTTGGTATATTGTACGACAAGTGCTCAGACTTATGTGAAAGAAGAGACTCTCCAACGTCCGTTATAGCCGCGGGTGATTGTTGGGCCCCGAATTTTCTAGTCCGAGACACTGGAAATGAAAAAGAAGCATTAATATTAGATTTTCAGCTTGCACGTTGCGCTAATCCTGTCACAGATCTATCGTTTTTGATTTATTCTTGTACTCAGAAGCCATTTCGAGATCAGTATTATGATGAAATATTGAAAGTCTATCATTCCGAATTGAGCAGTGCCATTAAATCTCTCGGATCTGATCCGGACAAGATTTATCCGTGGGATTTATTTATGAAAGATGTAAAATGTTCATTTTATGTGTACAAAATTTTGAGAGGAATTCGTATTAACACGTCGATGTCGATTGCAGGTGAAGGAGTATTTCATAGTTGGGTTAGTGTTTGCTACAGAATCGATTCCATTTTGTCTACTGGATCCATCTCAGTCATTCGACTTAGATGCTATTATTAAGGGCAACGATGCGGTAAATATCGCTGACGTATGGACACTATCTAACATCGAAACCTCGAGTGGAAGGCGAAGATTAGCAGATGCAATTGTTCATGCAGTGGAGAATGGATATTTATGAAAATGGAAATTTATACATAATTAATTTGTATTATAGAGAATTATAAGAAGCATGATCATCTTAATAAAACGATAATTATTAAGAATTATTAAAATAGTATTATTAAGCTTTAATATGATGCGACTTCGCTTTTATATATATTTATATCTCAAAATGTATGCTTATAATGCTCTGTTATGGCATATTTGTCATTTATATCATATTATAATGATATTGCCTGAAATAAAATTTTCTGCACGATTCTTATTAAATGTGTAGAATTAAATAAAATAGAGGCGATCCATGTCTTTTTATATAATTTTAATTATAACAACGTAGATTAATTAAAATATAATATCTGTATAAGAGTAGAGAGATATAGCCACCCATTAACTCTTTATTAGCTCGCGGATGATATATCTAAACTTTTGTGTTATCACATAGTAATATTAACAGGGTGGAGAGTGTTGGTAGAAATATCTTGTATTTTTTTCTTTTGCTTTCTTTTTAGGAAAAGTACATCTATCGCTGACAAGCACAGTACGTTAATGATAAGTGCATCACAGATGCATATTTGATGTTAAATTCTTGCTGCACAAAGCAAATAACTTTTAAAACGCTGAGAAATGCCGTAATCGGTCTCGCTGATATAGTTCTCTTACGTACCTACCTCAAGAGATCGCGATGAAGTTGGATGTTATGAAAATCACATGTCGAGAACATTACACGGATGACATACATATATATAATAGCAACGCGATGTATTTCACTATGAGATATATGTCTATGCATTCTGATGCTGAGCATTGACCGTCACAACGTTACTCGCATCGAAAACAGTCGTGTCTTCGTCGTCTTCCTCTTCCAGTGGCAACGGTCGCATCTCGACGTCTTGCCTGTGCGTGAGGACACCATACTTTCGAACCAATTGGGCGCGTGTTTTACTTAACCTATTGATAAAAATAAAGCAAAAAGATTGTTAAACTGTACACTAAATATTTATATCATGACAATTCATTTTCATTGTTCATATAATTATTTATTAAAATCATACCTAAAACTACGGAACACGATGTAGGCCATGACAAGGATGCTTAGTCCCACGAAGACTAAGAAACCACGTACAAGAGCACCAGTGTTGAAGGATGTATGGCTCTCGCTGGACTGTCGCAACAAAATGTCATAATCAATAACAATAATATTACAAGAATTGAAGACAACAATGTAACATAGTCTTAATGTACATAATTTATAAAGCAGTCTTTGCATTTTTTAAATTTACAGGATTCCTAACAAATGTTTGACTATATTTTATAAATATATTTTATAATTTATTTTAATTTTATTAATATATTATATTTATTAACATATGAATTGTGTGGACATAAATTTCATAAATATCTTTCTTCCATATATAACAATGAGTATTAAATATTAATCTATTAAAATGTTACAATTAATTGCTACATCAATGCAGCATAATACATGCATTTTAAATAAGTAATATAACATTGTTATTTGCTATATACTGTAATTACCCATTATAATTAGTATCAATTGCTCAGTAATATAATCAAAATACAAATTATCTTACTGTTTTTCCTCTGATCAATGATAAAGTATAATAAATGTCAACAAAAACTATTCCCATGCATAATAAGCTAATAATTAATTTTTTTACTTATTAATCTCATATGCATTTATTCTTATACGACACGTGTGAAAAATTTTTTTATTAACTGTGATTTAAAACAAAAACAGAATAGCACAGGAACAATTCTTGTTCTCAGAAATTCAATTCAAGATACTCATAAAATACTCAAGGTATATGTCCTTATCATTGTCACTGAACTGTATCAAAACCTTTTTTTTCTCTTTTGTCAATTTAAAATATATTTATCTCATTTCAAGTATGAATATATATTAATTCAATTATAAAAAACTTATTTGCAATATATTAGAAACAAGTTTCAGAAGATCAGTAACAGGTTATTTGTACTCTGCGTGTTTACATCCTATAAAATTGTTTACGAAGTGTCGAAAATACAGAAATAAACTTTTATCCTTAAAGAATTCTCGTGTAGAAAAATTTTATTCTACATTCTCGTGTCTCATCTTTTCATGCGGAACCATCTTCCGGATGTACTCCGAATCGCATGGGATGTCCGTTCAACCCATGTCAGGGAAATAAAGTCGCGGCTGCCGCGGGATTTACGATCCCGATCTGACGAAAGTACGAACCTCGTTGGACGTGCCCGGGGTGTGTGCAGTTTTATTCGCGACCATATCCGGCAATAGTGGCTTCGAGGTTATGCTCTCGTGCGTCCTGTTGCCGTCAACCGCTGGCTTCTTCGCGTCCGCGGACGGTGCGGCTGCGTTCCTCTGGCCATCCTTATCGCCGATAGGCTTTTCGTTGGCTCCGGCATCCTCGTTGACGGGAACCACCGCCTTCCCGTCCCCATCCGGCAGCGGCGGCGGCGGCGGCGGCGGCGGCGCGTCCCGCTTTTCCCGGAAACTCCCATCGCAAACTGCGGTCTGCGCCAGCAGGAAGATCAGCAGGAATATGAAGAACTTCAGCTTCTGGATCTTCGACCGTGTCATCGTGCCGTGTCATTTAAACGGCAGCGGCGATGGCAACGGCGACTATGGCAATGACGACGATACGAGACGACGACACAACGACTACTCTCGCGGTCTCTTTTTTTTACGACGCGGCGATATGACGTTTCGGCGCGTTCTCCATGTTGCGCGCACGATTAAATCTCACTGAACGTCCTCCTCTCGTCACGCTTCCTCCTTACGGACCAGCTGTTTCGTGCGAGGCGGCCTTCGGACAATTCCGTGTCGTCCTCGCGTGCGATACCACGCGCGTACGCACATGTCGCGCCGCGTCGCGTTCGTTAATCGTGGCCCGTTGCGCATTAAGCTTCGTCCAGCCAGCCCACAGTCGTGAGTGCATGTGTACGTACGCCCGCGCGCCTATCACGATGCACCGAGATATAATAACGCGACAAGACGTCATGATCCCTGCGCGTGTATACACACGCGTCTAAACTTTTTCAGCGGCTTCGATCAAACTCCGATTAATTTTATCGATGATTAATTCATTGATCTAATATCCACATCATTTTATTAAATAGGCGTAATAAGTAATTAGTAATTAAACATGTGTAAAAATGATGATTGGAGAGGTAATGAATATCCTGGTAAAATATTTTTCTATAAAAGAAAATAATATATATATATATATATATATATAAACAAACATCTAGTTTATTAAGCAATAATTAAGAAAAAGAAAAGTCAATTAGACGAACACAAAGATGTTAAATTAATAGCATTTAATAACCAAGAACATTAAGGTTGTCATTTTCATGTATTAAATGCTATTAATGTAATATCTTTTGTACTTATTTAATTGACTTTTCTTTTTCTTAATTTATACATATATAATTATATGTATGAACATATTTTATAATTTATAATTGTTTTGCCTCTCTCTTATATAATCTCTGTCCGTACAGAAAAAATAATAAGAAATATAATTGAGAAATATTTAGAAAAATGAGTTTTACATTGTTTTTTCTTATAAAAAATAAAATTACGATTTTGCCAAAATATTTCTTGAAATTAATTGCGTAGTTATCAATATTTTATAAAAAATCAATATTTTTACATGTATTTTTTTAAATATTTATATAATAACGAATTACAAATTTTATATAAGAATTCGTCACATAATTTCATAAATATCTTTCATATAATTTCATAAATATTGTTAAAAATCTAAATTATTACTATTAAAATCTATTATTTTATTATAATTAGAAAATAATTTTTTTCTTTTATATATAGAAAGCTAGCTAGCTTAAATTAAAGACCACAAACTAGAAATTTTGCAGAGAACAAATCTGTCAATTGAATAATAATTAATTAAATTAAAGTTTAGTTGAAGTAATCTTTTATTCCATTTGCAATTCTAATATATTTTTATGCTGTGATGGATAAAACACACGTCTGCTATTTACTTGTTTTTCAAATCTTTTTTTCTTTTTCAATGGATACTTTTCAATGGACGTCAGAGTAATTAATAGTCAAGTTGATCGTTAATCGTACCTCAATCGCGAGATGATTGCCAGCATAGATAAGATGCTATCATCAACGAGATCTCGTTGTTTTAACTTTTAGAGTCAGATCTAAATGGGATAGTTGTAAATTCTTTGTAAACTCTTCCAAGAACTGATGCGACGATTGGAAGCGAACAAATTTGATTCTTTTGGGAATATCTCAGACAGATGCATGCTGTTCGCTTTTGAAACTCTGACGAAATCCTACTGTGTTTTTCTCCTGTCTCTTGACTATTATTATGTCCCTCTTGAATATCATTTCTTTCTAGAAAACTTCTTTTTAACAAAATAAATGAGAATATTGCAGGTGTATTTTGGTAATCAAAAATGACTTGTCAAATGGAATATTTAGTTTTTCATGCAAAATAATTACCTACCCTAGACATGGACAAAAATGAATCGTGGACGGAAAAACTTGTGTTCCTAATTTTCAAAACAAATAAAAACACATAATTGATTAAATAATTACAATCTAAGAAAATTTTATATGTATTATCCGAGATAAATATAAATATATTATTTGTTCTCAAGATTTGTATCAGATAATATATATAAAATTTTCTTAGATTGTAATCATTTAATCAATTATTGCGGTGCACACATTTGATATTTTCTTATATAAATATTTTTTTGTAAAGAAGAAATGTCTGTCCTAATTTTGCAAATAGTTTATTCCTTATCGAAAATAACGTATTGGACTAAATAAATTTTGGTTCCGTATTCTTTGTTCGTAAGTCAAATTGTGATTAAGTTAATTACGATTAGCTTATTCGACGGAAGTGCTAGAGTAAGTAATCCAATTAGTTCCTAATTTAATTCTTTCTTCTATACATGTAACAAAAATAGAGTAAAAAATAAACAGTTCTATTTATTCTAACAAAATGGTGCAAACATGATACATTTGACAAGTTAATCGTTGATTAAGTTAATTGGAATTTGATCGAAGTCGTCTACGTTGTCTATCGGGAGATGTAGCTCATCTAAAACGTATTTAAATAGAACTCGCGCATGAACAGACGGCGAGAACGTGCTCTCCGTTCCAAGAATATGCGTTTGTATTTGCGGAATAACATCGCCGAGTTGACATGCGTGAAACGGCCGACCAATGAGAGCGAGGGGATTTGACGTGCGGTACGCTGTGTGTACATAATCACGCGGCAGTGCGGGATTTAAATTTATCGCGACCCCAGCTAACGGGCGAGAATCGAGCTAGAACGAAAATTATAATACGATAACAAGGACAAATTGGACTAGATTCCGATTAAATTAATCGGCAACTAGCTATGCTGTTTTGGGATTACTGCAGTTCCTTTTTTCGTTTTGAATTTTTTTTTATATACAATTTCTTTTTTACTTTTCTCTGTCAACCCTGCCGATATTGACGTGATTCCGTATTTAATATAATGTGATTACGAACTTTCAAGTTATTCTTGAGCCAACAGATCCGTTTAATCGGTCGATAAAATATAAATCAACAATGAGAAAATTTTCCGGAATTCTCGCTGCTGTCAGACAGTTTTTCTACGACCGCGGTTTTCGCGGACGGGGAGACTCCCGTGGATCGATCGCGGCGCGTGTCGTCCCTGCCGCGTGTATACATCCATGCGTGCGGGGTACAGACAGACGCGAGAGGCGGACGGAAAACGGCGAGGCGACAGTTCGGTGAGACAGTTGGATCGCGAGAGCGGGCGGGCGAACGAGCGAGAGTGAGTTCGTCGTTCGCATCCGTGGGAATTGGGAAGTCGCGATCGCGAGTTCGGTGCGTGCACACATCGGCTCGCGCAATATATATTATATATATTATATATATATATATAAAATATATATATGTACATACACTGACCACACAATGCCCGTCTCGGCTGTGAACACGATCGGCGAGGCGAACGCGAGGTCGAACGGCGTAGCGGACGGCTCGCGATTCTGGCCGATCGGCTGGCTGAACGTGATGCGCGCCTGCGACGACACGTCCTCCGACGTACGACTGGAGAAGTTGAGATCGGCGACGACCGGCGGCGCCGTCGCGACGACGGCATCGGGACACGGGGACGCGGACGCGACGGAGGAGCTGACGTCGAGGAAGTGCGAGGGACAGCTGTCGATGCTGACCGCGGCGAACAGCTGTTCGTCCTGCATGCCTGCGAGCCGTACGTCAGAAATGGCGCAAGAGGACTACGGCCCGTCCTGGGATAATCTGCCGAGTGTTATCTTGCAGGAGATATTCTCGCTATTTGTCGCACGAGAGCAGAATAATAGCCTCTACAGGTAGATAGAGCGAGAGAGAAGAAGAGAGAGAGAGAGAGAGAGAGAGAGAGAGAGAGAGAGTGGAAGAGGGAGAGCCTTGCCCCTTGTTTCTTTTCCTTCTTCGCGATCGTTTGCGCTGTAAACTGACCTGACATTGTGTGGCCGATAAAGCTGTCGCGTCAATCGCAGGAATATTTTTTGCGCGCAATGGAATGTATACTAATGTGAGGGAATACGTTACTATATCTGCCTATCCCATACGCGTCGTCCCGCACAACCGTTATTTTCGTGGCCAAAAGTTTTTGATTTACAAATGTTATCGCATGTACGCACGTACGTACATGTATGTGATTACACTACTCTGTGTAGAATCTTTTCTGCATTGTATCGAGCAACGGAATAGTGGATATGTCGGTGCTGAAATGCCAACGGTCGTTTACGATGATAGACTTCGTTATCATGTCAACATGTGATAGAGATTGGATCTTTAGTGATATGAAAAACCGTGTTAATTTGATACACCTGATAATAAATGTAGTTTTTGTGTAAACTATATTTTATATCTCAAATATTGCAGAAATCTTTGAACAGTTTTATATGTTAGCTTTATGTATAACTTTATTTATATCAATTTAACCTGTAGATTTATTAACATTTATATTAATTAATTCGAGATCTGTTCAGTGGATTTGTTATTTAATTTTCATAGGTGTGCAAAAATTGGAGATATACCTTGTTCCATCCGAGGTTCTGGAGAAAAATCACTTTTGTGTTCAGAGATGAAGACAGCATTTTGTGGACTCGGTAAATCCAAGCTTATTTTGTTCATGTGTTTACAGACTTGTCAAGAATTATATGATATATTTAATATTTTTTTGTTATAGATTCTTGGCAAATCGTTTTGCTTTGAGTGTACATGAGGCTACGATTCGTTGGGATATACCTAGATATATCAATTGCGTAGGTGAAACGTACAGGCTCCTAAAAAAGTTAGGTCACAATAAACAATTGAGAAAATTGTTCTTGGAATTCAATAGTAACTTTTATGACTCTCCCTTTGACAACGAAGATGTCAGGTATTGATGAATTGAATGATCTTATATAATACCACAATGTTACGTTTTCAATAAAGTGAAATTGTTTTATCTTTCAGTACCTATAAAAGTTCCACAGCGTTAGTAGAGTGTGTAATAAATATAATCGAGACTTCAAATTGTCTGGAGACTTTAACTCTGGGATTCAGGGAAGAATTGATAGTGCATATATCTGCAATTTTGGAACCTCTCCGTCTTCATCACTCCAAACATTTAACGCATCTCAGTCTGGCATCTATCAAAGACGATCCTGACTGTTATGACTTCTTCGAGCTTGATAATACTATTTTTAATTCATTTATCAGATTGTCTATCTTAACCCTGGATTATGAGTATGTCAGCGATACTTTGTTGGTAGCATTAGATAACGGATGCATGCAAAGACTTGTGATTCACATTCACGGCTGGAAGGAGGATTATCCGGGTACAACGAATGGAGCCTGGCAAATGTTTGTTCAAAAAAAGTGAGTAACTACTTGAATATTGAATTAGTTTACATTTGAAATTATTTTGATCCTTGCAGAAACATTTCAGTACAGAAAAAGGCATATATATGCAAATTATTTATTTACAGCCCACACTGTGAGTTGAGGCTGAATCTTATACATTCGTATGCTGGCGTTAAGGTTTTGGATACTGACATATTTTGTCCTGCTATGCCACTGACACATTTACAAGTTTTATTCTGTGAAAACGTTAATATCAGAGCATTACATCGGTTATCAATGTGGTATGCACACACGTTGACATCATTGACATGGATAGATTCGATAGATCGCAAGCAGCCTATACCATCTACGTATGATTCAAATGATCCAAACGGGTAAGAACATTCTATGCATTTTAATTTAATACAGTTTTCTCTGGTGAGAGTATAATCTATGTGCAATTTTATTGTAGTCCAGACTCATTGGTGTTGGTGGCATGGAAGTGTTCGAAACTTATGAAGATGGTTTTCTTGGGCCATAAGTATTACCAAGAGAATCTGCTGGCCATCGCGCGTCTCAGAGGCAGCACTCTGAAATTATTGGTATTCGCAAAAAGTGATATCACATCTGAAATTGAATCATGGTTCGAGGCTGAAAACATCAGACGTGTGAGTATATGAGTATTTTGATAAATATTTTTTATGTTTTCGGATATAAGAAACGTTTAAACTATTTACGACTATGAAAATAATTATCGGTAAAAAATATATTCGGTAAAAAACCGAAAGGAAGGCTCTTGAAACATTAAATTCCATTTAATTAATATTTAGGAAATTCGAGATATAATGGGTCCACATTGGATGCTGTTGAATGATTCAGATTTACCAATGGTAATATTGGATCCTTTTAAAGGCGACAGTAGAGAAGTGATTATGCCACTGGTTCTCAACGATCAGTAATTCTCAACAGAAAATCAAGGAAAATCTCTTATACGACATGGTTATTGAAAAATCCATTTTTGGGCCATCAACATTTTCAGAAGTAATGTTATCAAATCACACTTTCTATTCTTCTAAGAGATTTTTTTTTATGATGAGGAGTAAAACATCGAATGACAAATACGCACTATAAGTTCGAAATCTTGTTATCAACATTATCGTTTTCGGAATTTTGGGTGCAACGCGTAAGAGATATAGCAAGATAAACGCACACATAATTTTCTCCTCCTTTACAATACTTCTATCGGTTATATGAATGTGATAAATTGTAGTCAAACTAGATCTATTTTCGACTTGATGATATCTATCTGATGCAAATTACGACACATTTGCAAACAATGAGACGATCTCTTCAATTAAGAGACGATCTCCTCGGTGATTTATATATACTATAGTTTTCTTCTTACGGAAAACCCTGAGTCACACTTTGATGTTGGCAAAGTGACGCTAGGAGTGATCACGTGAACGTATATTAATGCATTAAAAGCGATATTGTGTATATATATATATATATATATATATATTATA